CAATTTAAAAACTGGCTAAGGATCTAAATAGGTATTTCTGTTCTTCAATTCATTTTTTAATATGTTTTTTAGAGACAAGATCTGGCTCTGTTGCCCAGGCTGCAGTGCAGTGGTGCAATCATAGCTCACAACAGCCTCAAACTCCTGGGTTCAAGTGATCCTTCTGCCTCAGCCTCTTGACTACAGGTGTGCTAACTGAAGAGACATGTCCAGCTAATTGAACAGACATTTCCTGATAGAGGGTATACAAATGGCCAATAAGCACTTGAAAAGATGTTCAATATCATGAGCTGTTAGGAAAATGCAAATCCAAACCACAATCAGATACCACTTTACACCCAGTAGGATGATGCTATTAAAAAAAAACAAATAAGGCCAGGTATGGTAGTGCACACCTGTAATTCCAGCACTTTGAGAGACCAAGGTGGGAGGATCACTTGAGGCCAGGAGTTTGAGACCAGCCTGGGCAACACAGTGAGACCCTGCCTTTACAAATAAAAACAAACAAAAAAAATTAATTCTCCAGGAGTGGTAGTGTGCCTATAGATTTAGCCACTTGGGAGGCTGAGGCAAGAGGACTGCTTGAGCTCAGGAGTTTGAGGCTGCAGGAAGCTTTGATCACTCCACTGTACTCCAGCCTGGTCAACAGAGTAAGACCCTGTCTCTCAAAAAAAAAAAAAAAAAAAAAAAGACAAGTGCTGGCAATAATGTGGAGAAATTCGAAATCTCATGCATTGTTGGTGGGAATGTCAAATGGTACAGCTGCTCTGGAACACAGTCTGGCAGTTATATGACCTAGCAATTCCACTGGCAGGTATATACCCAAGGGAAATGAAAACACATGCCCGTACTAAAGTCCATAGCTATTCATAACAGCCCAAAAGTGGAAACACCCCAAATGTCAATTAGTTGATGAACAGATAAATAAAATGTAGCATATCCGTATGTTGAGTTGAATTATATTCCCCAAAAAGATATGTTGAAGGTCTAACTTCCAATACCTGTGAATGTGACCTTATTTGGAAATAGAGTCTTCAAAGAAGTAATCAAGTTAACATGAAGTCATACTGAAGTAGGGTGGGCCTTTAATCAAATACGACTGGTGTCCTTACAGGAGGAGGAGAAGAAACAGGTTTACATTGAGCAAATCCAGTATGCAGACAGACACACAGGGAAGGTGACCATTTGAAGACAGAGGCAGAGACTGGAGTTATGCAACTGCAAACCAAGAAATATCAAGGATTGCCAACAACCACCAGAAACTAGGAAGAGAAAAGGTAGGATTCTCCCCTAGAGCCTTCAGGAAGAGCATGACCCTTACTGACACCTTAATTTTGGACTTCTAGCTTCCTTAACTGCAAGAGAATAAACTTCTGTTGTTTTAAGCCACCAGTTTGTGTTACTTTGACCACAGCCCTATAAAACAAATACACCATAGGATGAAATTTCATTCAGTAATAAAAAGGAATGAATACTGAAACATGCTATAGCATGGAAAAATCTTGAGTACATTATCCTAAGTTAAAGCAGCCAGTCACAAAAGACTACACATTGTATGATTCCATTTACACAAAACACCCAGATCTAGAAAGACAGAAATATTAGTGGTTGCTTAGGGCTGGGGTCTTAGTGGAGTCAGGGACAGGGAGTGACAGCTAATGAGTATGGGTTTATTTTGGGGGTGATAAAAATGTTGTAAAATTAGACTATGGTGATATTTGCACAACTCTATGAATATACTAAAATCCTCAAATTGTACACTTTGAATAATGAATTATATGGTGTGTGAATTACATCTCAATAAAGCCATTAAAAAATGATTTGGGGCCAGGTGTGGTGATTCACGCCTGTAATCCCAGCATTTTGGAAGGCCAAGGTGGGCGTGTCACTTGAACCCAGGAGTTCAAGACGAACCTGGGCAACATGGTGAAACCTCATCTCTATAAGTAATACAAAAATTAGCCAGGTGTGGTGGTGCACACTTGTAGTCCCAGCTACTTGGGGGGCTGAGGCAGGAGGATCACTTGAGCCCAGGAGGTCAAGGCTGCCATTGCACTCCAGCTGGGTGACGAAGTGAGATCTCATCTCTCTCTTTTTTTTTTTTTTTTGAGATGGAGTCTCACTCTGTTGCCCAGGCTGGAAGGCAGTGGTGCAATTTCAGCTAACTGCAACCTCCGCCTCCTGGGTTCAAGTGATTTTCCTGTCTCAGCCTCCTGAGTAGCTGGGATTACAGGCGCACACCACCATGCCCGGCTAATTTTTGTATTTTTAGTAGAGATGGGGTTTCACCATGTTGGTCAGGCTGGTCTCAAACTTCTGACCTGGTGATCCACCTGCATCGGCCACCCAAAGTGCTGGGATTACAGGCGTGAGCCACCGCGCCCAGCTCCCCAACTCTTAAAAGAAAAAAAAATTGACAAGCTGACTCTAAAATTAATCTGGAAAATAAACTAATAATAACCAAAAATATTGTTTTTTAAATGAGAGGACACGAGCTGATATAGTATATGACTTCCAATAAAATAATAATCATGATGGAGTATTTACCCTATTAGATGTCAACATATAACATACAGTTTAATATAGGACGTTGTGGTATTGGTCCAGCAAATAGAAAAGTATACCATAGAACAGAAGACAGTCTAGAAACAGACCCTGTATGATAAATGAGTACATGTGGCCAGGTGAGGTGGCTCCTGTCTGTAATGCCAGAACTTTGGGAGGCTGAGGTGGGAGAATCTCCTGAGACCAGGAGTTTGAGACCAGCCTGAGCAATATAGCAAGACCTCATCTCTATCTCTACAAATAAAAATTAAAAAGAAAAAAAAGAAATTAGTACATGGTAAGTGTGGCATTTCAGATCAATGGTTCAAGAATGGACTGACTATTCGAGGTGACAGTGTTTGGAAAACAACAATTATACACGCACAATTCCGGAGGAATTAAAGAAAAAAAATTATTCCCACAAGAAGAACTTCTAGGAGAAAACAGAGCTTTAGGAGAAAACCCTCCTCTCTCTAAAAGTAGAGGAGGATTTTTCAACTTGAGCACAATTGACATTTTTGGCTGGTGAAATTCTTTGTTGTGGGAAGCTTTCCCATGTGCTGTAGGATGTTTCCCATGCACTGTAGGATGTTTAGCAGCACCCCTCACTTTTACTCACTAGATAACCAATAGCAGCACCATCCTAGTGGAACAAACAAAAAACATCTACAGACATTGCCAAATAATCCTGAGAGCAAAAATCTTTGCCATTTAAGAACCACTCAGATTGGGAATGATAGCCACAAAATACAAACACACACAGAACAGACTGATAAATTAAAACCTAAAATTTTAAACTTTGTTTCAACAAAGATGCCATATAGTTAAAAGACAAGCAACAACTTAAAAAAGCAATAAGCAGGGAGTAAATATTATAAACATACATAAATAACAAAAGATCAAAATCCAGAACATACAAAATACTACTATAAATCAGTAAGGAAAAGACAATCCAATAGAAAGAGATGTTTCTCAAAAGAGGAAATACAAATGGCCGACAATCATGAAGATGTTCAATCTCAACAGCAATCAGGGGAATGCAAATTAAAACAGCAATGAGAAATCACTTTTCCATCCATCAGATTGGCAAAAATAAAAAAGATTCATACCATTAAATGTTCGAAAGAGCATGGGGGGCTGGGCACGGTGTCTCACACCTGTAATCCCAACACTTTGGGAGGCCGAGGCGGCTGGATCACTCGAGGTCAGGAGTTCGAGACCAGCCTGGTCAACATGGTGAAACCCCATCTCTACTAAAAATACAAAAATTAACTGGGCGTGGGAGCAGGTGCCTGTAATCTCAGCTACTCGGGAGGCTGAGGCAGGAGAATTGCTTTAACCTGGGAGGCAGAGGCTGCAGTGAGCCGAGATCACGCCACTGCACTCCAACCTAGGCAATAGAGCAAGACTCTGTATCAAAAAAGAGAGAGAGCACGGAGGAAATTATTATACACCGTGGGTAGCAGTTTGGCATTCCTAAATCCCCATACTCTCCCATCCAGCAATTCCACCTGCGGGTAACCATCCTTGAGAAATGCTCACATGGGCACACAGAGGTGTGTGGGAAGGATGTTCTCCGCCACACTGCGTCTGAAAAGGAAAAACTGGAAACAATCTATGGAATCTTACATAACCATGGAATTTACAGAACAAGTAGAAAGAATAGGTAGATCTCTACATACTGACAAAGAAAAAATTCCAAGACCCGTTTTTAAGCATAAAACGTCAAGTTATGTAATGCATAAAACATACATATTTGTAAAAGTTTAAGGCGAAATCTTACAAACATATATCATAACGTGCACACACTTGTCAAATAAATGCAAAGAAAAACACACACAAACTGACAACAGTTCTTATTTTGTGAGAAAGGGACTGGTAAAGAAGGGAGGAGACGGAAAAAAAAAATCAAAGAGGATCTGTCTTCCACACTCTCCACCCTCACCACCAAGGAGAACATAAAGCTAAAAAAGATTTGTCTTGTTTAAAATTGTTACATAATTTTGTTACAAGACTTTATGCACAGACTATAACTAGAATATTTTTAAAATACATTTTTAAAACAAGCTCAACTTTACCAAATTTAATCCATCTTCCTCCCTGCGCCACGACCCGCACTTTCTAATTCCTATAACTAACAAAACCTTTCAATTCCTTCTATCCTTGTAAAAGAACTAAAAAAAAAAAAGTATAATTTCAATTTTGTGTTTTTGAGGAGAGGGTATATAAAGGAGTTTGAATGTTGTAATCATATCAAAAGCCTATCAAAAGCTTATCGAGGGATGGGTTTGTTTGTATTTTAAGGAGCAGGTGTCAATTTTATAATAAGTATTGATTAAGGTTCTTAGTTTTGATCCATCCCAGGGATATGAAAAACCAAAGAGGTGGCTCCCAGCAAGGCCCAGAGCAGGGTGTGGTCTGGGAGGACAGGGATGGTAGCGGGGGTGGCGGCTCACACGCATCCAGGGGAGAAAATAGCAGCAGTGGCCGCGTCGAACTCGCAGCGCCCGAGGAGCTACCAGGTGCCGCGGGCGGGGCCTCCTTTTTAGCTGATTGGGACACGCAGCCTCGAAGGTCTGGTAGGGGCTCCCAGAGAGAGGGTAAGGGGGTCGGAAGGAGAGGCCCGAGGAGAGCGTGGGAGGACGTGGGCAGGGGTGAGGCCCTCCTTGCGCCCTTGGGTGCTGAACCGCCCCGCCGTCGGCGACGGGGGCGAGGGGGCCACGCTGAGGGGCGGGGAGAGGGGCAGGGCAAACTTGCTCCGGGACAGCTGGGTCCCCGCAATGTCACCCCTGTACACGGTAATATCCCCCGCCCCACGACCCCTCTTGGTCTGCACTGGAAGCCCCTCTGCCCCGCGCACAATCCCGGTGCAAGGCCTCGCCGGCCTCTGAGCTTACCTGCTGTCTCGGACTGGGCCGCACACCTGCAGCGGGCTCACGGTAAAGTGCTGGAACCTGTGCGGCCGCCAGCGCGCACCCACCCGGATTCACTAGGGCCGTAACCACTTCCGTTCCTGCGGCAGGCCTGGAGGACGTAATCCCAGCTGGGGTCTGGGAACGGGCAACGCCATCTTGTACGGAAGCTCCTGGGGCAGGTGATGCCTACCCAGTCTGTCTCCTCTGTTGGACAAAGAATCTGTTAAAATTGGAAGGGCTTAACGTCTTCAGAAAAGTGACGCATTTGTTTCTGGGATGGTATGTTTGTGTTTTGGTTTTGGCTTTGTGTTTTGGGTTTTGGTTTTGGTTTTGGCTGAACTCTCACAAATGTAATATGGGACATCGAATTTTCTTTAGTATCCTGTGTACTGTTTTTCTGTTAAACAATAACAGTAAATAGAAGGAAAGACAGGCCGGGCGCGGTGGCTCAAGCCTGTAATCCCAGCACTTTGGGAGGCCGAGACGGGCGGATCACGAGGTCAGGAGATCGAGACCATCCTGGCTAACACGGTGAAACCCCGTCTCTACTAAAAAATACAAAAAAAAAAAAACTAGCCGGGTGTGGTGGCGGCGCCTGTAGTCCCAGCTACTCGGGAGGCTGAGGCAGGAGAATGGCGTAAACCCGGGAGGCGGAGCTTGCAGTGAGCTGAGATCCGGCAACTGCACTCCAGCCTGGGTGACAGAGCCAGACTCCGTCTCAAAAAAAAAAAAAAAAAAAGAAGGAAAGACAGTGTATTTAAATAATGTAGTCTTCATTAGCAGTGCACATTATCCTATAGCCACTATAATAATTTTATGCACCCTTTTTTTTTTTTTTTTTTTTTTTTTGGTGGAGACTGTCTCCCTACGTTGCCTAGGCTGGTCTCGAACTCCTGGGCTCAAGCGATCCTCACAGCTCAGCCTCCCAAAGTGCTGGGATTACAGGCGTGAATGCCCAACCTATGCCATCTTTTATAGCGATAATCACAATATCTTCTGTTTATATATTAAACCGTTCATCCAATTAGTCTTTATTAGCAATTATATATGAGGCAGTTAATGTGTGCTACATGCATGTTTCTCCTTTCTCATGGAATGTGTAAAACAGAAGGAGAAATGAGATGTGCATAAATAACCAATATAAGGTGTAATAATAGCTACCATTTGTTGACTTTGTGCTCACCTGTTGCTAGGAGCTTTGCAAAGCATTTTACTTATTTTTTCTCTTTTAATCCCCATAACAACCCTATGAGGCAGTACTATTATTAGTGCCATTTTACATAAAATGGAAAAAGGTTAAATAACTTCTTCAAGGTAATTCAGCAAGTAAGCACCAGAGTTAGGAATCAAACCTCATACGTCTGATTGCAAAGCATGTGGCCCCATCCTTTATACTACATTGTCTTCAATACAGGGGCAAATGTTTTAAATTCCACTGAAGGAGTATCCATGGGGGAAATTTCCAGCTATTATAGGTGATTAACTCCCTGAATTTTTATCTGTCCATCTTGAAACCCTTAAAAAACAAAGGATAAAGAGGAAATGCAAATTAAAACCACAATGAGATATAGCTAAATGAAAACCACAGAAAATATCAAGTATTGGCAAGATTGTGGAGCAACCACAGCTCTTATATGCTCCTGAAGGGAGCATAAATTGATACAATCACTTTGTTAAACTGTTTGGCGGTATCAACTGAAGTTGAATACATGAAAAAGCCTTTGTTCCAACAATTTCACCCCTAGGTGGGGCACAGTGGCTCAACGTGTAATCCCAGCACTTTAGGGATTTTCACTGTGTTGCCCAGGCTGGTCTTGAACTCCTGGCCTCAAGCGATCCTCCCACCTCGGCCTCCCAAAGTGCTGGGCATCATAGTGCACACCTGTAGTCCCAGCTACTCCAGAGGCGTAGGCAGAAGGACCTCTTGATCCCTGGAGTTTGAGACTGCAGTGAGTTGTAATTGCACCACTGCAGTCCAGCATAGGTGACAGAGCTAGACCCTGTCTCAAAATCAAAAACAACAAAAAAACAATTTTACTCCTAGTTATAAATATGAAACTGAAATGTCTGCATATATTCACCAAAAGGACATGTACATAAAAAAGCTCATACCCATACTTTCAACAGCCCCAAACTGGAAACTACCCAAATATCCCTGCTGTTAGAAGTCACTGTAGATAGTGATTCATCTTAGGGTAGTAATAACTGGAAGGGAACGTGAGGAGGCTCACGAAGTGCTGATAATGTTCTATTTCTTAATCTGAGTGCAGCTTTACATGTGTGTTCAGGTTATATTTGTGAGCACTTTTCTGGTTTCATATATACTTCGATAAAAGAGTTTTTTTAAAATGATAGTAAAGGAGTGAAAAGTTTGTTAACCCAAAGAAGAAAGAACAGGAAAGGACATAATACCAAACTAAAAAAAAAGATACAATTTTAAAAGATAGAAATTGGATTAGAATGGCAGATACAGTGTATGCTTGTATCAAAATATCTCATGTACCCCATAAATGTATACATCTACTGTGTGCCCACAAACATTAAAAATTAAAAACAAAAAGAATAACAGAGTGTTGACATTTGGAGGATTTCATAAAGAACTGTCTGGGTTCACAAGCAATCATTCTACATTAAGGCCCAGTCAACAAGACTCCTCTGTGCATACAGAACTTCTAATCAGCTTTTAAAATACAGTTTCTCACTTTTAAATATGAGAAGACATCCAAGAATTACCAGTCATTATGGGAATGTCTCTGACATAATTAATTAATTATGTGTAGAACTATGTATAGAACCCTCCGTTCTTGAGGAAGACAAAGAAAAGAACTATATACCCAACGATTTGAGAACACAAATTGTTCTCAAATATACTTTTCACATATTCAGGGAAGATTTAAGAAAATTAATTTTGATTTAGGCCATTGATTATCTAACAGGTTGCTATTTTAAAAATCAAATAAAAATTTAAAAAATATTTTAGGTTATTGAGCAACTTTTTACAAATTGTAAAAAATTGCTGTCATATAGCTCACATTCTCTGGCTACATTGCAATTAAGTTAGAAGTCAATAATGAGGCTGGGTGCAGTGTCTCATGCCTGTAACCCCAGCACTTTGGGAGGCCGAGGCAGGTGGATCACCTGAGGTAAGGAGTTCAAGACCAGCCTGGCCAACATGATGAAACCCTGTTTCTACAAAAAATACAAAAATTAGCCAGGCACAGTGGCCAGTGCCTGTAATCCCAGCTACTTGGGAGGCTGAGGCAGGAGAACTGCTTGAACTTGGGAGGCGGAGGTTGCAGTAAGCCGAGATCATGTCACTGCATTCCAGCATGGGTAACAGAGCGAGACTCTATCAAAAGAGAGAGAGAGAGAGAGAGAGAGAGGGAGAGAGGGAGAAGGAGAGGGAGACGGAGAAGGGGAGGGGAGGGGATGGGAGGGGAGGAAAAGAAAAGAAAAAAAAGAAAAGAAAAGATTATTTTTAAAACTCCACGTACTTGGAAATTATGCCTGTAATCCCAGCACTTTGGGAGGCTTAGGCATGTGGATCACTTGAGCCCAGGAGTTGGAGACCACCCTGGGCAACATGGTAAAACTCCATCGCTACCCAAAATACAAAAATTAGCTGGGCATGGTGGCACACACCTGTGGTCCCAGCTACTCGGGAGGTAGATGTGGGAGGATCGCTTGAGCCTCCGGGGTGGAGGTTAAAGAATGGCTAAAATGCAAAACACTGCCTACACCAAATTCTGCCAAGGATGTGGAGCAACAGGAACTCTCATTCATTGCTGTTGGGAATACAAAATGGTATAGCCACTTCTGAAGACAGTTTGGTAGTTTCCTATAAAGGTAAAGATAGTCTCAGCATGCAATCCAGCAGTCACACCTTTGGGTATTTACCGAAATGAGTTAAAAATTTAGGACCACACATAAACTTGCACATGAATGTTGACAGCAGGTTTATTTATAAGCTGGAAACAACAAAGATGTCTTTCAGTAGGTAAAAGAATAACCAAACTGGTACATCCTTACAATGGAATATTATTCAGAACTAAAAAGAAATAAGTTATCAAGCCACAAAAAAATAATATGGAGAAATCTTAAATGTGTATTGCTAAGTGAAAGAGGTCAGTCTAAAATGGCTACATACTGTATGGTTCCTACAATATGATATTCTGGAAAAGGCAAAGCTGTAGAGGTAGTAAAAAGATCAATGGTTGCCAGCCAGGGATTCCAGGGGAGGAGGAAAGGCAGAATATAGCTGGAGCAAGGGGATTTTTAGGCCAGTGAAACTATTCTGTGTGATACAGTAATGGTGGATACATGACATTATGCATTTATCAAAACCTATGGAACTGTGTAACATGATGAGTGAACTCTAATGTAAACTATTTGGCTAATAATGTATCATTTTGTAGCAAATGTACAATACCGATGCAATATGTCAATAATAGATGAAACTGCATGTGGTAGGGGGAGGTATGTGGGAGCTCTCTGCACATTCTGTTCAATTTTTTTTTCTTTTTTTTGAGACAGAGTCTCGCTCTGTCACTCAGGCTGGAGTGCAGTGGCAGATCTGGGCTCACTGCAAGCTTCGCCTCATGGGTTCACGTCATTCTCCTGCCTCAACCTCCCAAGTAGCTGGGACTACAGGCGCCTGCCACTACGCCTGGCTAATTTTTTGTATTTTTAGTAGAGACGGGGTTTCACCACGTTAGCCAGGATGGTCTTGATCTTCTGATTCGTGATCCGCCTGCCTCGGCCTCCCAAAGTGCTGAGATTACAGGCGTGAGCCACTGCGCCCAGCCTCAAATATTCTGTAAACCTAAAACTGCTCTAGAAATAAAGTCAATTAATGTTTTTTTTTGGAAAAAAAAAGTTATTGTGTGAACTATCTAAAATGTTTTATTCATTTGTTTATCCATTCCAAGGACAA